GTCATTTCACTGATAAGATTTGTGAACCTCCAAAAGCTGACCCAATGAATAGAGCTTGGGAAGTGTAGAATTTCATGGTGAAGTTGTGGCTGATCAACTCCGTTGAAACTTCCATTGACAAATCATATATGTTCCTTCTATTAGTGCCCTCTAGACGGTAGTTCGTGATACCTATTTGGATGTAGAGAAGTCCAACCAACTCTATGAGGTGTCTAAGAAAATTCGTGAGGCGAAACAATGATCCAAAAATGTGACCCAGTACTACAATGACCTGGTTGCATTATGGATGGAATGCAACCTATACTATGACTACATCTGAGAATCTCCGGCCTACCCATCTCTCTTCCAGAAATTTGAAGAAAAGAAAAGCATGTTATAATTTCTGGTAGGCCTTAACAAAAGATCTTTGACGAAGTCAGGAGCCGTATCCTTGGTTGGGATCCTCTTCCTTCTAATCATGTTGTTTTCACTGAGATTCATCACGAAGAAAGCCAGAAACTTGTTATGCTTGGTGCTTTCACTTCGTCTGCTCAAGCGTCTGTCTTGGTCTCTAATAGTGCTCAACCCCCAGCCAGTCATCCCACTTGTGATTAGTGTCACAAACCCAACCACACTCGTAAAAAATGTTGGAAGCTCCACGAGGAACCTGCATCCAAACCTTCGGCCAAATCCTCCGTTGTCAAGGGTCTCACTACGACATCCAAATCCAACATGATGCAGTCAGCCTCTACCCGGAACTATCGGGAATCCTCTGATTCTCTTAAAAATGAAATGAAGCAATTAATCAAATTGCTTGGATCCAGTCAGCTCTCTTTCGGCCTGTCAACCTCCCACATTTGTCAAGGCACCAATCCTATGACACTACCTTATTTTGCCCCTCTTAGTCCATGGATCGTTGATTCAAGTGTCATGAACCACATGACTAGAAACTCTAAATCCTTCTCCACAAATTATCCATGCTCAAGAATAGATATTGTTAAAATTGTTGATGATTCCCAGAGTTCCATTGTTGGCAAAGGGTCAGCTATTTTAACAACAGGTCTAACTCTGAAATCTGTGTAACATGTACTTCTGTTAAAGTGTAACATTTTATTTGTGACTATGTTGACATATAACATTGAATGCGTTGCTCATTTTTTCCTTGATGTTTATCTCACAGGATCGTCGTTTGGGGAGGATGATTGGAACTGCTAGGCAGTTAAGCGGGCTCTACTTCTTCCAAAAAAAATGGAGAATGAGGACACTCCATTCAATAGTTGGAGTTTATCGTGGTTCACTGAATGTCTCATTATGTTGTTACTCTGTCGTTTGGGTCGTCCTAATTTTCAGTATCTAAAAAAATTATATCTGTAAATGTTTACTAATATAAAAATCCTTATAATTTCAAATGTGAAACATGTTCGTTAGCTAGACATCCTCGTGTTTCTTATCCACTCTGCACTTACACGACTTTCGTTCATTTCTCCTTTATTCACAGTAACTTTATGAGGACCCTCTCGCACTCTCAGTTACACCAATAAATGACGGTTATTTACTTTGATGGATGACCACACTTGGATGATGCGGATTTATATTTTAAAAGACAAATATGAATATGTTATTTCCTATTCAAGTCCTTCGGAACGACAATGGTCATGAATTTTTTAAATCTACATGAGGAGAATTCTTCGTAAGTAAGAGCATCCTCCATCATAGCTTGTGCACAGACACAACACTATGGGTTAGCCGAGAGTAAAAACCGAAATCTCCTCGACGTTGCTCGTTCTATCATGTTTTAATCTAATATCTTAAAATATTTCTAGAATGATGTCATACTTAATGCCACCTATCACATCAATAGAGTTCCCTAAAAAATTCACAATTTCCAAAGCCCTTTAGCCATCTTGAGATAGTGTTTTCCTAAAAATAGGGTCTTCTCCACTTTAGATCCAAAAATTTTTGGGTGCACGGTCTTTGTTCGGAACACGGCCCCAACTTAAAATAAACTTGATCTCAGATCCATAAAATTTGTTTTCCTTGAATACTCTATCACTCAAAAAGGCTATCGATGTATTGACCCTGCCACAAATAAGGTTTATGTGAGTGTTGATGTCTACTTTTTTGAAAGTGTTCCCTACTTTCCTAAATCGGCCTCCAGTAATGGGGAGCTAGAGTTATATAACATTGTTTCTTATCCTACTCTTGAGGATGTCCCCCCCACGCCACATAACACTGAGGAGTCCTCTATTCCTTTGGTTTCACTCACTTCTCCTACCACTAAGAAGTCATCTATCCCTTTGGTTCCACTATCTCATCCTCCCACTCTCCGTGTCTACAGTAGGTGCACTCATTCTAATGTACATACTCTGGAGCTCGCTAACACCTTGTAGGATCCTATATCCCCTCCGGGCGACATCTCAGTACTGCTCCTACTCCAAATAAGGAAGTTAGTTCCTCTAGTATGGTACGCAATCAGACAAGATCTCTTTATACAATAGCAAAATATGTTTCATTTTGCAGTTTATCGCTGACCTACAGAGCATTTGCTATTGTCCTGACCACTCATCAGCTCCCATCTACCATTAAGGCAGCCCTAACAGACCCAACCTAGAAAGTTGTCGTCATGAAGGAAATGAATGTCCTTCAGCGGAATCATACTTGAGACATTGTTGATCTTCCTCGGGGCAAGAAATCAGTAGGATGTTGATGGATGTTTAGCATCAAGTTTAACACTGATGTATCTTTTGAATGCCACAAAACATGATTGGTCGCCAAAGAGTACTCACTAACCTATGGAGTTGACTATGATGAAACATTTGACCTAGTTGTTAAATTAAATACTATTTGGGTCCTATTATCCCTTAAGGTGAATTTGAATTAGCCCTTATCTTAGCTTGATGTCAAGAATGTGTTCCTGAACGGTGATCTTACAGAGGAGGTATACATGATCCTTCCTCTAGATTTTGACTACACTGCCTCCTAAGGGCAAGTATGCAGGCTGCAAAGTCTATTTATGGACTGAACCAATCACCACAGGCATGCAAGTTCACAAAAGTGGTAGTAGGCCATGGGTTCACTCAGAATCAATCGGATCACGCTCTCTTCTTCTGGCATTCCTCCAACGACCAGGTAGCTATCCTTATCATCTATTTCAATGATATTGTACTCACTGGTAATGATCTGCCAATATTGGAGTCTCTAAATGACATTCTTGTTCCTTCCTTTGAAATGAAGGACTTGAGACTTCTCCGGTACTTCTTAGGCATGGAAGTTACTCGATCATCTTGGGGAATTTATCTGTCTTAGCAGAAATATGTGATTGACCTTTAACAAAGAACAAACTTCTTCTATGCAAACCTTTAGCTCTCCTGATGGATCCCAATGAAAGACTTCTTGATGTTCCCAATGTGGTTCCAATAAACAAAATGCGCTATCAGTGTCTTGTAGAGAAACTCATCTAACCTTGCTCATACAATCCCCAACATATGTCACGTCGTTGGGATAGTAAGTCAATTCACGCATGATCCCTATGAGCACCATCTCCAAGTTGTTCACTAAATTCTCCACTACTTAAAAGGCACACCGATCTCAAGTTTGTGTTTTTCTGCCACACCTCTTGTTCTATTGCAGTTTACACATATGCTGATTGAGTTGGGTCTGTCTATGATCGATGAACTACCTCAAGGTACTACTCATTTGTATGGGAAAACCTTATCACGTGGAAAAACAAAAAAGTAGTCAATAGTTGTCCAGAGCAGTACTGAAGCCGAATTTCAATCAATTTCCCTTTGTGAAGCTCTCTGGATATGTATCATGCTCCACGAACAACATAAGAAAGCCTCCATCCCCCTACAGTTGTTCTGTGATAAAAAGACAACAATTAGCATTGCTCACAACCTGGTTTAGTATGATCGCACCAAGCATGTTGAGATTGATCGACACTTCATTAAGGAAAAGCACTTCATTAAGGAAAAGCTACTTCATTAAGGAAAAGCTCGAGTCGAGGGAAATTTGTGTTTCGTTTCTGTCATCCAATGATCAGCTGAAGGATATTCTCACAAAGAACTTTTCTCAACCCCTGTTCAATGACTTCAAATCCAAGTTGAATATGACTAACATCTATGCTTCAACCTTGAAGAGAAGTAATATAATGTTTATTAATAGCTAGAAATAGTCATTATTAATTTCTATTTATTCAGAGTTATTAACTTTATTTTTTTATTATTTCTTTCCTTTTCTACTGTATGTTATTTTTATTTCTTTTTTTAGTAGTAGATCCCGTAATTTGTATATATACCTCTCTTTGTATCAATAAAAATTACCCGGGTTCTATTCTAACAATCATCATTATCATACCCTCAACGCCTATAATTTAGCAAATTTCATCATCATCACACCTAAATTTCATTGATTTCTTTGTGCCACAAACAATTATTTATATCCTTCCACTCCCTCTTGACCCTAATACTTTCTCTGACGGTGTATCGATAATGTGAATACGATGAACCAAACACCAAACTTGAACTGATGATACTTTATTCAGGTCAGCAAAGATTCAACTAAGAACTAGTGTGGATCCACTTCCAAAAAATGGGAATCAGCTAAAGTTGAGTTTATTCTCAGATATAACAGAAACGAAGCCAACTCAACCAAAGTTGCCCCCCAAAACTTTTAATGCATTACCAATATTTAATGAGTAATGCTTTACATAAAAGAAGATATTTCCAAAATGGTAGGAAGGTGACTGTTCTGGGTACTATCTAAAGCTATTATTTTCTTGGATAATAAATGTAACAGTCAAGCTAAAAAAATCAAACAGGAAAAGAAATGATCATTCTGTAGTATCCAATCATGTCAACTAAGCATGTATTTTTATTTACCTAAACTTTTAATCAGGGTGAAGCCAATTCCCTATAACTTTCTACTAGCTTTTAAAGATTACTTAGAAGCACGCTTTAATAAGAACGTTAAAAAACAAGAAAATTGCATAGTTTTAAGAGAAAGCAATCCCTCATACTCACCAGCTTAAGGGGACCATAATGTTGAGGAACTGAAAGTTTAAGCTCCTCGTTCCAAACAGGGTTCAGATTGCTCTTAATAACAGAGGTTTTGGCTTTCTGCAGCGACCAATTCTCAATAAGATAATAATAGACATAAACAATGGAATTATTTATTTCCACAAAAATTTAATTAACTTCAAGGAAACAAAACACAAAACATACCTGTTTTCCAAGGGACAAAACAACATATGGATCACTACTTAACATATCCCTAACAGCCAAATTTCTGCCTTGTATCACTTTGACCGTTAGAATTCCTATGAAATCTACCATACCTACCTGTGATCACTCAAAAGCACAAAACATTTCTAAATAACTTTAGAAAAAAATAGCAGACGGAATAGTATTTCAATGATACTAATAGAAAATTTGATCAAATCCCCTATTGTGCACGGATATTAAAGGTAAGACTTACCGAGGAGACTATTGAGTCCAAACCATTCTTGCTTTCCTTTACAGAGTCCCCTGACCTCAAAGAGCACTTTGACGAGGAAGAGCTCTTTGAAGAAACAATACGCAGGCTTGGTTTCAAAAAATCTTGAAACTCGTACTTGGACCTATGGAAGGACTTGAAGTGCTCAGTATAGTGGTCGCCAACCATAGGAAAAAATACTACATAATACAAGCCTTATGGAACAAGTATTTCACCTGATGAACTTAGCTCTCTCCTCATAGCTTGAATCTGTAGTAGGTTTTAAAAAATTCTGAGGAAGGAACGCTTCATATATTGAATTTGCATAAGAGTTCCCGCCAACTTCAATCACAGATTGAATTTCTTCGTCCGACCATTCATCCAGGGTCACTGATAAAACCTGATGTTATGATAAGTTGTAAAACAATAAGAAAGAGTAAACAAAACATGATATATATATGATACGTTGTAAAACAATTAGAAAGAGTAAACAAAACATGATCTGTATGGATAAGATGAATAAAAAGTCCTTTTTAAGCGAACAAAAAATTCAGGATGCCTGCTAGGATGAGGATGTTCAAAAATTAAAGCACCAAAAACCACATGAGATATTTAATGCTAAATTCATTTGTGCTATGGAAAATTTTCCGTGACTATAAGAACATTGGAACTGCTAATAAAACTACGATTCAACAATAATCTCCATGCTAGCCTGCTGCGACTTCCTTGTTGTTTTAACAGTAATTGCTACATGGTACTCAAATAGTTCTAGTTCTTGAAAATTGAAAGACGTGGCAGCCATGAAAAGTTGAGTTCAGAACGAGGACTATATAGATACAACAATGACATTGATTTGATGAAGTAAGACATATTCAACAATAATGAAATATAAACTTCATCAAACCAGACAAAATAATCGTAAATATTACCTTTGAGATATGGGTACCAAGGCTTCTATGTACACCACAGCATTGTACACATACAAATACACCGATATTAACTGACCTGCCAGAGCAAAGTACAGTAACATATTAAACCATAATTTTGTTAAAAAAGAGCAAAATTGAGCCCCAGAGTTAAAACATTAGCAGCAAGATGAAAGCTTAAGCAAAGCACTGATAAAATAAAACAGCTTCATTAATGAATATAAAACTGAATAATCTCATCATGAACCATGAAAGATCTAACCAAAATCAATTTAGAGGTTTTTTGGTTGCAGAAAATTAGGAGATCGGTGAATTTCAAATGAAGTGTGAGATAATCTGCACTCTGATTTCATAATATTGTTTGATAGATTCTAAAATATAACAATGAAATTCATTTTTTAATGTTTGGTTTAATGTAAATGGAAATCAATTATAGGGAATGAACATACTGAGGACGGGGATGATGCGGGCAATGGAGACATGGGGTCTTTGGGCTCTCAAGTGTTGTTACAGGTGTGGGGTTGTTGACAGGGTGGTAAGCATGGGAAGGGGGGCGACCAGGGGCATAGGTCGCGAGCAGGATCAACATGGTTGTTGTTGGATGGGTCACAATTGTGGTCATAGCAATGTCACATTTGGCAGCAATTCATGATGCGATGGAGGGATATTCTAAATTCGTGCAAATATTACTTTGCATTAGCTTACTTCTAGCCAAACAACTAAAATTCAAAACAAAAGAATTTTTTTTAATCTATACTCATAATGCATCAAAACAAACAGACCCATAAGAAATACCAAAATAGTAGTTATTAAAACTTATGGTTCATATATAATTAATTCAGCACCTAGCCGTGTTTCTGTTAACAGAGAATAATATAATCTAGAAAATTTTAATTACACTGATTACATGATGCATTCCAATGGTCTATCAAAAAAACTTTAAAAGACAACTTGATTTCCTAAAAATGAATGCAATGTAATAAAAATGTAAAATATTTGAAATATTTTGAATTTTTTTTATTCAGCGCAAAAAAGATGCAGGACTTCATGTTTTTGTGTTTGGTTCGAAAAAATTTTGAAATGAGTGAAGAATACAGACGGCAACGACAACAGGTGGATATGTGGCAATCGACGATTGGCAGCAGGTAAATGTGTGGTGATTAGCAGCCAGAGGCTATGGAGGCGGCGACACGCGAGGCCAATAAGAGGCTGCAGAAGCGACGATGGCTAAAACTTTACACAAGCGATAAATTTATAATTGAACCAGATGCTGTGAAATTTTATACTGCATTTATTTTCCATCTAACCGTACACAAGAATTTTCAAAACCCATGCATTATTTTTACATTACACTCCTAATTACACAATAAAATCAATGTTAGAAAAACAATGTTTCCTTTTGCATTAACACCAGAAAAACAAATCAAATTTGTTACCCGTTCATTAATGCTTTTATTCCAAACTCAAAGCATTTAAAATTTAAATCTATATAGGTTTATGCAATAAATTATTAAAAATATTTAAGTTAACAGCACAAGCCTGCAGTTTTCACTAAGAAAATATGGATATCATACAGAAATCAAATTAATATTGAGGTTTTCACTATTCCAGATAGCATGATAATCATTAAAGATGAATATATTATTAAAATCTTACCAAAAAGTTGAAAAATGATGATGAAAATTACCAATTAACTGGTAAAATAAAGCATGCATATCCTATTGCTACACCGCCATTGGATCATTTAAGTTCAGAACGGCGGAGAAATATTTTTTTAAAAGTGCCACTTACGCCCACTTAGGATCTGGTGCACTGCAATCAGCACAAATCCGATTATCACTTTTATGTAATAACTCCTTCAATTGCTTCTTGTTACCTGTCAGAGAAGTCAAGCATAAGATAAAATTCAAACTGTTTTAATTGAATTTTAAACTTCCAGGACATCAAAATGTCCATGACAAAGTATTATAACCTTAAATAGGAGGCATACGGTGAAAATTAATTTAGGCAACTCACAGCCATAGATTCTCCTTTTTGGATAAACATGCTTCTTGATAATATGCACTTTGTGAAACCTATGCAACAATATGATACGGAGTACAAGTATCATAGACTAAATGTTCCTTAGATATGCCCTAGTACCTTTATAATGATTAAATGCTTGTGTAACAGTCATTGAGATATTGCCTCAATAATTTATCAAGATAAGCACATATTTAAAACAAATGGTTTGCGGATAAATAGAAATTATCTTTTATTCCTGAATAATAATTGGTTCAGAAATTACAATATCCATTATTTGAACAAGTTGTGTTTTGAATCTCCGCCTCCTTAAGCTCCTATAAATAAGAGGTGAAAGAGAAGCATGGGGGAGTAAGTGTGGATGCTTGAAGACTATAGAAAGTTGCTCTTCAGAACTGAAAAAGGAAGAGAGAAACGAGAGAATAAAGCTTCTTTAAAAAACATCCAAATGAAGATATGCTGATACGACTTGGATCTCTCTTTATTATTTTTTTTGTTTGGTTCTTGTAATTTCTACAAAATAAATTTATGTTCTTCTATGTATCTAACAGATGATATTTAGATCTTCCCTTTTCTGAATTTCATGTATTTGGGTTCAAGGGAAGAGCTTTTTTTTCTTGGCCTCTTTTTGTTTGTATATCTATGCAGATTCTAAGTAAATCAAATAATCTCTTCTCTCTTGTGGATGTAGGTTATTATTTTGGCCGACTCAAACTAATACTTTATCTTCTTTTGGAACTTAATCCTTTTTATTAATTTGAGAATTCTTTGTTTTATGCCTATCAGGTGCTTCTGCATAACATGTAGTTTTTCCCAACAAAGGCACAAAGTTAATGGCACAAAGTTTAAATCATAATTGGTATTTCTCAAAAGTTCTGTGAAGAGAATGGATTACGCCCAAAGCACAATACATGTTGAAGCGCCAAAGTATTTTACATGACAAAAACTTGAAAATTTTCTCAAAGTATAGACATGTTGCAAATGTCTAGCCCAAAGGCATAAAAAGGGGTTCAAACATGATTTGAAGTGCCATTGAATAAGATACATGCCTCTTGGCACACAATGTAATTGAGTCACAGAGAATTCAAAATGAAATGAGGATGCAAATGAAATGAATATACAATATGCCATTAGCAATAGATATGAAGTTTCAAATAGCTAAATTTTGAAAGAGATTACTTTTATGGCTAGAGCGTAGGACTTCTAAGTTACAAAGGATCTTCAGTTTTGTCCTTATGTTTACATTTATGGGCTCAATAAATTGACGTCTGTCTCTTGAGAGTTTCTGTTTCTGGATCAAATTTTCAGCGGGCATATTGTATTTTAGATAAGAAACTGCGCTGTGATTTGACTCTTATTTTATGAGGAATTCGAAATTTAATTCAGGGTTTTTTTTTTATCGACACAAGCTCCTACTATCTAGTTGTTCACAGAGAATCAGGTTCAAGCACATTTATTTGCATTTCATTTGATTTATCCAAATATTCACAGTATTGCAGAATTTATTGGCTCTACCCCATATGTAATGGATTGAGCCTGTAGATAGGAACTTATAAATACATTTTGCATTAACTTTACTAAATTCATGTGCAATCATTAAACAAAAATAGTTTGGTAAAACATACAAGTTTTCAAGTTCTAATGTGTCGTGTAAATTTGTTTGACTAAGCCAATGGGATAAACTAACATAATTCTCCATTTGTAATTTGGTTGAAATTCAATATTTGAATATCACAAAAACATCAATCTCATCAATTCCAATCATTTTTTAATAGATGATCAGACTTGCTGAGACTTATGACATTTTCCTATAGCAAGAGTAGTCTGCTCAAGTAAATGTAGCTTAATGAGTTTGAGCTTGTCCTTTATGAAGAAGTTCGAATTTTTTTACATAGTTACAAATCTTTCAAAACACTTACGCTCTTTTCTGGGCCGGGCAGTTTGAGTTCATTCTATTTTTGTTTGCCACGTAATCTCAAAATTTAAATTCAAATATTCAGCTCATTTGCCGAAGCACATGCAAACAAAGTTATTTTTTATGCACTCAAATGATCTTCAATAAATTTACATAATATGCATGCACAATTTCCAATGCATTGTACACCCTTCAGCATAATTACATGACACAACTACACAATTTTCAGAGCATTTATATGATGCACTTGCATGCTTTTTGGGAAATTTTGTTGGTCCGAGAGTCGTCTTATGATGTATGTGCATGGCTTGAAAATATCTAGATTTACAAGTATTTATCATTAGGATGCATGCACTGTTATATATTGATTTTTTTTAAGACCCTCTTATGTCCGCATGAGTGTACATTTACGAACCCTGTGATACTTTTTACAAATTAAACTCATTTATATGTTGTCAAAATATCATAATTTCATCTTTAAATGAATGTATTTTAATTTGGTGGGCCTCGAAAGAAATTAATATTCTTGTTATAAGCAAAGCCCAATAATTTATTCATTCCTGCAATACAAGTTCTAATTCTCTCAAAAATTTTGAATGTAGTGAGAAGATCTTATTTTTGTTCTTCTTTGCAGGCAAGTTCTTCAAGTTTTTTTGTAAGTGATGTTTTATTACAATTTTGTGTCAAATCTTATCCTTTGTTTGTAATTTTGTTCTCATTTATTTTACTTGGTATTTTCTATTTAATTTGTTTTTTTTTTCAATTTCTTATGTTACAACCTTGTCCAAAAATCACTCTCATTTTATTTTGTTCTAATTCCTTGTCAGTGTAACTTTAGACAGATTCTCAACATCTCTACCGCATAGAGGACAGTCATAGGGAGTGTTAGGCTTGCCCATCATGCTAAAAAAGACAAGCAGGATATACTAAGATAGCATAATCAAAGGTCTTCAAAATCGACCACGCCAAAAAAGACTCGTATAGAGCACCCACACTAGAGATTTCACAACGTATATAATATAACACAAAGCTAAGAAAATTGAACACAAGTCTTACCCACTACATTGCAAGCATCACCTACGAGTTTCCCCAGGCCACACTGAAAGTAACAAGCACATGTTTCACTCAGCATGTCAAACGTGTAGCAATCGTTATTTTGTGAAGTTTGTGTTATATCACATCCATGAGGCGATGATGATAGTGACGAGACAACATAACGATGCATTTACAAGGGCAAGAATAAAATACATATTGATCTCTCTTTTTCATCTCTTTTTTCATATAAAATTTTCACTTCACTATTTTTAAATTTTCCCTTTTCTCTACTTTGTCTTCTCAATTTTACAAAAAGAGATAGAGAGAGAAAGGGATATGGAGATTGATGCCGAGGGTGTCTAAGATGTCTACAGTCAATTGAGGTGGGGCTTGTTGAGGCATTGCTAAACGGATTGTTAAAAGATAACTCCGAAGAGGGAGGAGAAGAGGTTGCTAGAAGTGGCGGGAGTGGAGATTGCATCTACCTTTAAGTTGAACATGTCTCGGAGAACAGATCGATGATAAAAAGTAAAGGCAGAAGAAGCTAATGAGAAAATGGCCTTGTTTGCGAGCAAAATGGAAAGTGGGTTCTGCGACAAAGGTTTTGAGCTCAAGGAGGTCATAAGAGTGGCGCGTAATCGACAATAGTGTGGCAATAAAACTGATGCACAGTGAAATTTGTAGTGAGAGTTTGACATAAGTATAGTAAAAGGTGGTCAATGGCATGGGGATTAAAGAGAGTAACAATTGGGAAGGGCTCAAGGGTGATGTAGTGAAGTATTGACCAAATGGGAAAGGTTGGCATTAGGGTATGTTTTCTCAAGATCAAGTGAGGAGTTGCTCATGCCTGGAGAAGACAGTGATGTTGGAGTAGATGATGAGTGTAGATCAACAAGTTAAAGCTAGGTGCTCGCAATACAAACCTACCTTGGGTTGCGCCAAATTGGCTAAATGCCAAAGAAAAAAGCATCCTTTTAGCGGCGTAATCAAATTTTTGGGTGCAAAAGATCGTGAGCAAACAAGGGAGAGAGAAGAAGATGGGATCATGAGGGATTGTGAGCGGAGAGAGAAGCAGCGAGCATGGGTCTAGTGCATAGAAGTAAGAAAAAGAGGGATTGAGATGTGTCCTGTAATGGGAAAAAGTGAGCGAGACTCAATACAAACACACACACACACACACACATATATATATATGTGCGTGTGTGTGTTTGTATTGAGTCTCGCTCACTTTTTCCTCATTATAGGACGCATCTCAAAATTTATTTACATCGTCTCAAGTGCATAGATTTATTTTTTGTCATTCTTTTGTTCAATCAATTAGGATGTGGGATTTCATTTCTAAGCAATTTCAACATTGATGTTAAATCCTTCTAGGATGATGGGTCCCATAATGTCCATGAGTTAACATAATACGGAAGAGCATTGTGTAAGGAAGAGGATGAATGTATTCTCCATATCTAAACTATAAATTCTACATTTCGATCCCCCTTAAGCAGAGCGAAGGAGAAGAACCGACAGAAAGAGAAAACCATGGGGTCCTATGGAATTCACGATGCAAGGAGCCTGAAGAAAACTCTAAGAGAGTCCCCTTCCTCTGATCTCTCTCTCCTTTTTATACATGTAAAAGAAATATTAAAACGCAAGTCATATTGTACCGAAATCTATCCATGGTGACTTGATAAAAATACTGCAACGTACGTGTTATGCTTATGTTGCACCCAAGAAATATGGAAAGTGTCAAATATTGGGAACTACCTAGGGAGGAGTTAAGAATAGGAACAAGGAGAAGTGAGACAACTTAAATGGAGGAATCAATTGTGTTCTTAGTACCTGCAGCCTAATCCTAATACCTACGTTAGTAATCGACTCAACCAAGTTAGGTCTTTACTTTTGCTGGTTAGGCA